GAGAAGTGACCAGGTATTCACGAAAAGAGACAAAAACGTAACTCCACTGAATATCATCAAATTGATATACCTGTAGACAACATTATATTCACACAACTGACAGAAATACTCACCAAATCAATTGGTTTTGGATATGTAGTGAACTGGAGAGCTGGACCGAACTCCCGTGCAGAGCTCTGGACATCTGGAAGCACTGTAGAATGAGAGAAGAGAAGAGGAGAGGAGAGGAGAGGAGAGGAGAGGAGAGGAGAGGAGAGGAGAGGAGAGGAGAGGAGAGGAGAGGCCACCACATTCCCTAAAGCCTGCCTGTGTATTGCAGTCAGTAGCAGAAGGCCAGGGCCCAGTGTTCTCTCTCCTCTTCAATTGGGCCTGGATTTAAAGACCGGAAAAATCTCTCTGTGCTGTCAATCACTGGATTTAATAAAAACAAAGTATAACATTGCGGTCTCGCTCGCATTCCGTCCCCTCTGAGAGTTAGAACACAAGGGAGGTTGTCTGCATGCCGAACTGTGAAAATCTATGGCTTTTATTACCCCTCCTCCGCTAACGTTTTGGAAAATTGGGATCGTTGCAACAAACCCCCATCTGGTCCACGTTAGCTAAACCACCTTGAGTTTTCCCAATAATGAAATTAAACGTTGGTATATTAGAATTAGAAAAAAACGAAAAAGCTCAAAGCTCCTTCTTCAATCCAGACATGTGTGCCACTACTTTTTCAATGATGTTGAAACAGATTTCCTAAAGGAAAAATAGTTTTAACCCCCCCTACATGATATCACCTCCACTTCACTGAGCCTACAGACTGTGTTTGCTTGGCTTTGTGATGGAAAGTCAAACATGCGGTAGGTCAGTTGTATATTTAGCCAGCGTCTTCCTGAGCCAGCCAGGGATATTGTCTACATCCCAAATGTAACCCTATTTCCTATGTAGTGCACTATTTATTTTTTTACCAGGGCCCCATCCTATTCCCTATATATTGCAGTACTTTTGAGCAGAGCCTATAGTGTTCTGGTCAAAAGTAGTGCACTATGAAGGGGAATAGTGTTTCATTTGGGACGCAGATTTGAGAGGTGTGAGGAGGAATTGAACATTATAGAGAGTAGTCTGCTTATATTATCCACTCGGTCTAATGGAGGTTTGAGCTTGAGATATTTCTTCATGATCTATTGAGTGATGCACTATTTGTAATGTTTCTGAATGAATAGGTGAAGGGAAGACAGAATGTAAATGCCCTAGAGTTGTGATATGTGACCAATAGGGGCATGATAACTGTAAGTATAGCGTAAACAGTTTGTAGATATGCCTACTATCCACCAAATGACTATCAGGGTCAGTATGATCATTTCGAAATGTCATATTCCTAACTCCAGGGTCCATAATACTGATGTTTTACATTTTTCAATGACATGTCAAAGCAAAATACTATTTCTGAAATACACTGTGTACTAGGTTTTAATCAATGAAAATATATTCTAACCTCACTCTTGGTATCTGACATCCCCACAACACCCAGGTAGGCGCCACAACAGACCATAAATGGAGATTATGTCATAGGTATAAGACAAAAGACACACATTCAGAGAACAGAAATTATCCCAATATCGCCGGAGGTGCCTATTACCCAAGACCCAGGTCCAGGTTTCACGTCTCTCTCTACCCAGACATATTAGGCCTGTCTGTGAACTGTCAAACACAGGGGCCAATGACTAATCTTAGAGCCCTGCCGTCCTGTGCCTCGTTTCAAGCCAGAGCGCCTTACTTCAAAAGGTAGAGAGAGAGACCCATTTCTGCTCTGACAAAATCTACTCATGGATTTGGCCAGCTGTGGGTGGGTACTCTTGTGATTTCCCTTGCAACCCCACCCTCCCTTTTCTCTCCTACGCTACCTGAATAAAAAAACTACATTAAGAGGGCTGAGGAGGTGAGAAGGAGGAGGAGGAGGAGAGTAGGGTTGGGGAGGGGGAGGAGGAGGGTGGTAGGAGAGGAGTATTATTAGGGTCATAGTATCTTCTGATTTGGAGTTTCGAGGAGGAGATTCGTCGGAGTTTTTGCTAGTTTTGTGGGACGAGAAGGACTGCGTCCTCGGCTTATTTTCTTCGGAAGAGGTGCGGATTCTCGGCAGGGGGGATGAGGAGATGTTTGAGAGGAGGGGAGTGTATGTGAAGACAGTTGAGGTGTGGAGGAAGCAGGCTTCCTACCAGCAAGCCCAGGCCAGCCTTTTTCATATCCACTCAATGTGTCTTCATTCATTTAACCCTCCACCTGGAAAAGTCATCGGTGAGAGAAACGTCTTCCTCCCTAAGAGACCTGACTACAGACACACATGTTCTCTTTCAATCTACAAGAGAGGAAATGGCTCTTTATTCCAAAAACACACAGGCTGATTCCAGGCTTGGCGGTGTTGTAGTCGTAGACAGGTTGTGTTAAGAACCAGAGGAGGTTCAGATGTAACTCTATCCACAAGTAGGAGGGGAAAGTGGGGGAGGACCAAAGCACCAGAAACCAGCCCCCATACTAATGACATTACAACGACCACAGGCAGCTATGAGCTGAAACACCAGACACAGTTTAAGAATAGGGATTGGATAGGATAAATCTTCATCAAGTGCAGGATGAGATTTATAAATTGATTAAATGAACACATCAGCTAACAATTGACCGGAAGATTTGACAATGATGTGTCTTGTCATCCTGTATTTGTAAGCTACACAGCCCCAGACCTACAGGCACACTACACACACATACAGTCCAATAGGTGACGAGATCTACACAACATTAGACTAGCACATCAGTCAAGTCAGTGTCCTAACATGTTCCCTTCAATGTCTTCAAAATAAAACCAACATAATTTGAAATATTATTTCAACATGTTTCCAATCCAAAGAAAACAGACAGAAACCAATTAGGATGGCTGCCATTCAAGGTAGCACGGCATGGCAAATGATCCCAACCACAGTTAAGCATGGTTCAAGGGTTTTCAATAAACCTTTGACTTTAACATTCCACAACGCAACCTGGGATGGTTTGGTGATTGCATTTTGCTTGGCTGTTACTTAGCTCTGCACCAGAATTGTCCAGTGGTTCATTAAATCAAATATCTCCTTATTACAGTCATTACAGCAGAGGCTGAAAGATTAAATCAGTCACCTCTCAGGAATAGGATTGCTAAATTTCCCAGAAGTCCCTGGTTTTCAAGAAATCCCGGTTGGAAGATTCCCGGAATCAGTAGGGGGAATAAGCAGGAAATCCTCCAACTGAGATTCCTGGAAAACCTGGGATCTTTGGGAAAGTTACTGTAATTTTGGAACCATTAGCAGAGGCGGAAAGACAACATCAGTAACCTCTTAGGAAAGTCAGGAAGGAGGACAATTTGGTCTCTGAGTACTTTTAAAGGGGCAATGTGCAATTGGTACATCCATTTTGGGACTTTTAATGAATGATATCTACACATTATTTTTTTGAGAATATAACTGTATAAACTGCAGATTTCCCCTTTAAGGAGTGACGTTGGAATTGATTAAAACTGCAGCCACAAATGGCTCCAAAGGATTTATAGTACATTAATTGCTCAAATCCTAATGTAATCTTAATCCAGACAGTGCGTAATAATGGTAAAAACAGATGGATTGACCAGATTGTGCGAGAACAGCCAAAGCCTGATCTTTGCATAGTTCCACTGGACATTGAGAACAAGAGTGCTACCCATTACCTGACCACAACCACAACCACCAGTAAAAATGAAGTGTGACCGTATGTGGTCAAGTGGGGGGGGGGAAGCTTTTCCCCTGTTGCAAAACCTTACCCCTGTTCAATGCAATCAGTCCGTTGATGTTTCCTCGTCTTCTTGGGTCTATTGAATACTAAGACTTTGAGGTCTGGATAAATGCAGACACACAAATGTGTGTGTGCTACAAATGAAGCCCAGCGGGCGGACAAGGTGCAGTCCTGTCTTCCACCCACACACAGCAGAGCAGTGTCCAGGTCAGTAAGTATATTCTAGGTATAGAGAACACTTTAGTAGTGCAGTTATTAAACAGTTGTCAGTCATTTTAATGTATCTTCCCTCACCTACAGATTTTCTGTTTGTGTGACAGAATGAAGTGAAAAATAGACAATGTCTGCCACAAAATACCATGCACTTTTAAATGTTTTTTCATATCCGGTACAGTTACTTTTATTCATGTAAACTGTCTACATTTTAAAAGGGAATTTATTTTGATTTAAATAGTGCCTGATGTGCTTTCTTTCATACAAGTATGGACTAATGAAGGGAGTCTCTTCAAAAGGTTTATAGACCTCACCCACAGAAAGCAGAAAGCCATTGCCAAAAGGGACTTGTGACTTGACTTAGACTTGGCCCTAAAAGACTTGAGACTTGACTTGGACTCTACCCCAAAGACTTGTGAACATCTCTGGCAATAACCGATAGACATGTTAAACCAAGTATATATGTTAACCGCTGCTTAACTTGTTAAGAGAAAGAGCAGCCTGATCTTTCATCTTAGTAGTTTAAGTAGTATGACATGATGCATGGAGGAGAGCTGAACCTCCAGAAGGCAGCTGCTCCTTCCTTTCACATCGTGTTGTCTGGCCCACTAATGACTGCCACAGCAGAGGAGAAATCAGACCCGGCAGCGGCTCACAGAGGAACTCAACTGTCAGACACCATCACTTCACCCATTTAGCACTGTATTGTAATTCATCCTTCCCAACAATCCGGCGACTCAGTTTGGATTTGTTTGGTCTGCCTGGTCAGGTCCTGTCTGAACAATACAAGTGGGATACGTTCCGTTTTGTTACGTTTGTGTTTGTTAAGGTCTTTCTCTCTCTCTCTACTCGTGTGTGTGTGTTTGTGTTTCATAAGCGAGATAAAGAGATGTCGTAATGTTTAGGACTTTTCTGAGAAATCCATTCCACTCACTCATTCATCAATACGCTGTCGTCTAGATGAGGTGATGGGATATTTCTGTCTAAAGATTTGTCTAAGGATTCTTGTTCACCTCGCTCTTGTCTCCATAAACCCCAGAGCAGCTGGCCAGTTGGGACTTCTCTGTCCAGGCATCGTACTGTTTCTGGCAGGTGCCAGGTTCTGGGACAGCACAGATAGAAGAGCTAGCTTCCTGTGCAGACTGCTTTTACAGAAACAGAGTTTTATAAGGCATCAAAGCCAGTACATGGAGGTCTGTAAAAGAACATTGAGAATGTGATACTGGAGGATATCTGTGGTTGGTATGCACCACAAAATGAAGCTCTATTGGAGTGTAATTTAGGTGTTCAAGCTTGTAGTTTGTTTACTGTATAAGTAAACAGTGATTACTCTTACAGCTGGAATCCTTAATGGTGAAACAGCCAGCTCCGTGTGCGATATTACAACAACAAACACAGTTTTTTCCCCTCAGACATTGCAGGTGCAAAAGAAGAGCACAATATGTCCTGTAATTAATTTTTTTTTACCATGATGCACCTCAGCTGGGCATCTAAAACAATAATGGTGATGGGGCGGCCAGTGGCTCTGTTTCCCCGTACTGTGGATTCCATCTTTAAGGTTCAGTGAATTTACTTTCTACCAGTCGTGACACAAGACTGTGGTAGCCTGCTAAGCTAAAGCCTAGACATCAGCTCAGGGAGATACCACAAGTCTTCAGGTCTCAGGCAAGGTCATGCGAGGGTCAAAAGCTCACCAAACTGCCTCCGCTACACGGACTCATCATTACTCATCAGAATAACCCTACATTTTTCAGAAGTGGATAAATTCCATAGATAGATATATATGTATATTTTGTGATCAGCTGCTCCTCATTCTGTGTCACTGGTTTTGGTCAGCACAGCAGTTGATGTTGAAGCTGTGCCTCAGGCCACAGTACATGTGTTAGCAACAACTGCCTGTGTGCAAACAGCAAGGCTGATGTGTCAGAGCAGTCACCCCATGTCAACTCCAACGCATGGGAGAGATCACTATAAAACCCTGTTGGAGGAGAGAAGTGTTTATGTCTGGAGAATTGCTGCAAAAGCAAAAAGGTAACAGTGACATGTTCTGTCAACATATTTTTCTTCCGTTGTTGAATCACTGCCATATTATCTTTTATGCAAAGTTACCAAATGTTGTTTGTAATGGGCCAAGTTGACAGTTGATGATTGGGTGAAGTTGAAATGTAGAACATATTTTGTGTAGAATGGTCATGTAATCCAAACAGTTTTGTAACACTGTAAGACATTCTGCCTTACAATTGTGAATGTGGATGTATACACAGCCTTTTATTGAATTACTTCTAATTACTACAACAAACAAGGCTTTTTGAGAGACCTTTATTTAATCAGATTGATCAGATCAGATTGGAGCCAAACATCTTATTTCCATTCACCCACAACTCAACTGTACTACCAGCAGTAAGACCAGGCACAGCTGCTGGCAGAATCCCATTTACTTCAAGATCACTTGGAGTGACAAATTGGTGGTAAATATCCACAGATGTACTGACATCTCTGTCATGATTACAAGTGTGAGAGGGGCTCTCTGCGGTCTGGTAGAGTCGGTGGAGCTTGAGGGAGACGACACGCGAGTGAGAGGCAGGGAGATTTACAGGCCCTGCAGGGTAGAGCTGAGCCAACTCTACCTGGAGGAAGCGTCTGGCACTGACAGGCTCCTGGCTGGGACCCCTGGCTGGGGCTCCTGGAGGCTAACCAAGTCACTAGAACACAGAGAAGACAACATGGAGAACACTCAGTATGATTTAAACAATTTGCTTGTGAGTGGTAAGATAAGAAGTCTGAAAACAGTGGTGTGTTGTTGAATGTGTAATATGGATGTCAGTTGACCTCCGGTAGGTAACACCTCTGGTCTGTTTCTACTTAGGTCTTAGAAGCAGTGGTCATATTTGTAACATAAATTGTTATACAAAGTATTCACTGTGGTAATTTTTCTGATTCACCACATCAATTTAAATATTTTTGCAAAACAGGAAATATTTTCAGACCTGCTAGAGAACATTTGTGGGTTTCGCAATACGAGAAAGTGATATTTTCCTCACCAAAGTGTTTCCAGCACATATTTAGGTGGGTATAAATCATCTGCTGTTTCTCTGTATCTTTCCCTTACCAGAACACACAGTCCCTCTCTGGCTTACCATCTGAACATAAATGCTCAGTGACCTCAATGTTTTTACTGGGATTGTTTTATTGTTCATGGTGTGTTTTCTCTAAACCTACCTGCTGGGTTCGTCTCAGTGCTGACATCATCTCTGATTTCTGTGGGGATAGAAAGCAATCATTCAGATATTTTTCAATAATATAGGTTCAATAGTTAAAGAATTCTGCTGTGGAACTTCTTTTTTTGTAAAGCCATAGTTTGGAATCACGGTAGAATAGAAGCCAGACGAACCTCTACTGTTGGCTTCATCAGTACCATTGGGTCTACCATTGACATTCTCCACACTGTCCAAGTCCTGCTGTTCTCCGGCTGTGTACAACACTCCATTCACTTCACCCCTACGACTATCCCTACGTAGGGCCTGATCCGTGGCTGTGCCTGTGACCTCTTGGCTTTGGATATCTCTATCTCTACTGTCTAGACTGGTGTTCTCATCATTTTCACCTCCATTGACTCTAGTCCCCTGCTCTCCGGGCACACAGGCAGTACCCTGGCAGCCCACCATCACCCTCTCTTCACTGTTGAGATCAATGAGCACTCTGCTGGTTCTCTCCCTCTGAGTCTCTCTATCCAGCTCCTCGCTCCCATTGGTTGGATCCTGCCTGGAGGTTGTCTGCATGCTGTCCACATGGTCTGGGTTTATGGTTTTCCTTCCTGGAGGTTGTTTGTTATTTCCCACATCACTTGGAGGAGGACTGTCAGTCTCGTCGCTGCTACTGTCATCTGTCACTGTATTGGGGATTAAGAGCCAGTTAGAACTATCAACTGATTTCCACATTTTGAATTTACTCTTTGTATGAAAATCTATGGATATGAATAAGTGCTATTGGTTTAATAGGTTTTTATTCTAAGTATGTTAATTCTATGTTTGTTTAAATACGCTGTTGGCCAAGGACTTCATCAAGTAGATTCTGACATATCTTGAATCTCAATAGAGGGTTTAAAGGCTGCTACATAATTTATTTCGTCACTGTTGCTGCCTACAACAAGACAAGCCCAGGTGATGTCATTTTAAGTGTCTTACATAGTGTTAGTTACATGCCTATGGGATGCAATTATACTAGGGTGGAATTCTTACCAGCAGAATTATAGTCCTGTGCTACCTTACGCATTTCTGTTTGTGACGCTACATCAATTATCTAGCTACCATTTCTTTACATTACATTGATGTAAAACATGACATATCAGTTTGTGTAATCTTTGTCTTTGATCCCGGATAGTCATCATCCTCTGAAGAGAGATGAGAGAGGAGAGAGAGAGAGAGAGAGGAGAGAGAGAGAGAGATGAGAGAGGAGAGAGAGAGAGAGAGAGAGAAGAGAGAGATGAGAAGAAAGAGCGATAAAGCGAATAGAACATACAGAATGAGAGAGTACATACATAGAGAGACTAGCAGCAGAGAGAGAAGAGACGAGAAGAGAGAGAGAGTGCAAGATGACGACGACTTTCTCTGGCTTCTGATCTATTCTATGAGAGAGGAGTATATCTCTCTCTCTCTTCTTTCTTGTCTTTCGCTTCTCTTCTCTTCTCGTCTCTTTTCTCTTCTCAGCACTACTCCTCTCTCTCTTTCTCGTTTGTTCTCTCTTTCTCTCTCTCTCTATCTTGATGGGGCGGTAGGATATCATACACACAGAGAGAGAGAGGTACAGACAGAGAGGGAGAGAGAGAGAGAGAGAGAGAGAGAGAGAGAGAGAGAGAGAAGCGGAGGAGAGAGAGAGAGAGAGAGAGAGTCTATGACATCCACATTACCAGATTAATTTCCCCCTACGGATATTTCAGTCATAGATTATTTAGATATTTTGCTATACCTCTGCTTTCTGCTGAGTTACTTTCAGATCGTCCTGCATCTGTGGGACATTGAATAAAACAACTCTGAAAATGATATCGAAACTTCCTATATAACATTATTTTCAAACCATATTCCACACACCTGTAAGATCATCGGAGTTGCAATTCTCTTTGGATCTGGCATCTGAGTCTACAATATCGTATACATGATCAGATAATGATCAATAACACAAAAAAGACATGATCAACCACATATCAATAACACTAACTACTGACTATTGATAACTTCCCAGCTCAACCTTCCCCACACTAACCTGTTAAATCAGCCGAGTTTGCAGCCTGCGTAACATTTGAGATTTCTGGAAGACAAATGATTGCGGAGTAATGATACACGTAATATAACACATTGATTTCATTATAACAAAGTTTGACCGTTTGATTACAAACTAAACGTAATCAAAAACCTACCTGCAGAGTTCTCTGTTGGTCTTAAAGGACTTGGGCGTGCTGTTGAACACAATATTAAATTAGGTCAACATGGCAATAACAGATGTTAATTAGAAACATTTCCCTATTTTCACTAACCTGGGGTTGTAGCTGGTTTACCAAAGGTATTCTCAGGACCTGGGGGAAGTAGAAAAGGAAGATGGCAGATTGAGTTAATGAGTTTAAAAGCAACAAAATGAGGACAGAAAATATATAAAGTGTGAAATATATATAAAGAACAGACCTTTGATTTCTCCCGAGGTGCTTTGAGTTTGGGGAGCGACGTCAAGGGCACCTGTAACAACATCTGAAAATGAGGTACCTTACAAACATCTTATTAGAATCTCACCACCTGTGATAATTCTTTGAAAACATGATTTCTCCATCAAGACTAACAACTGTTTGGGTCTCATCAGCACAATTCAATAAACACGTGCATTAGGATGTAGCCAACCTTCTCACCATTCAAAAAGCTTAACACATCCTCACTTCTGTCTGAAAAGGAAACAGTACTATTATTAATTTATTGAATCTCCATAACCTCAATAATATAATGTCATATACTGTATCAGACGTTTTCACCTCAGCAATAAAAGCAAGGTCATTGTTTTTGGCCAGTGTATGACACACTGAACAATTAACTGGAAAAGCTTACTCGAGCAAATTGCTACAGTATATGCTGATATATGATCCTTGTTTAGTGTAAATGAGGCTTACCTTTCATTGGTACCATGAACACAACAGCAACTAGTGCCAGAACTGACAGAGAACACAGGGAGCTACGAGAACAATAAAGAACATTTTCAGTTGAATGCATTCAGTTGTACAATTGACTAGTTATCCCCCTTTACCTTCCCTTTTATTGAGAAGATAGTTGTACAGTGTTAAATCTAATGCTTTGCAAGACTAATTCAAGACAATGCACAAAAATGTCAATTAAATGTAACATTATCTAAATGTTACGTTTTTATGAAGAATATATCAATCAAAGACGCCATGATGTAATAAAAAAAGTGACTTACAGCTTCATTGTGGGTCGAAGTCATCACATGAGTTCTCTATCTCTTTGCTAAAAGACCCATCAGAGGATTTATACCTGTCCTTCTAGCTGATTGGCCGGAACCACAGAGACAATAGACACAGACCCACTTCTATGAGATAGAATGGGGGCTGTGTCAGGTGTCTCTGCAGGAAACAGTGAATGACTGCGGGAACGTTTTTAAGATTGAGGAATCAGATGAGCATTTAAACAAAAAGGTTTACAGTTTACAAAGGACTAATTATAGTATCAGTCGACAAACAACTGACTGACTTAGAAGACAAAGACTCCCAAGATGTGACTGTTCATTCAAGAGATGTACTAAACAAAGACCTTCTCTTTCTAGTCTATGTTGATTATAGGTGACTGGTTCCTGTGGTCAGTGATGCAAACAAAACATGCCTCTGGCATTTCCTTGTCATTGTTACAGCAATTTAGAAGATGGTAGGCCTACGCAATGAGTGGATTGATTGATACCGTACTCTGAAAGTGTAGCATAAGCATATACACTGTGTGTACAAACCATTAGGAACACCTGCTCTTTATATGACATAGACTGAGCAGGTGAATCCAGGTGAAAGCTATGATCCCTTATTGATGTCACCTGAGACAGGTTAAAGAATAATGTTTACGCCTTGAGACAATTGAGAAATGGATTTGTGTATGTGTGCCATTCAGATGGTGAATGGTCAAGACAAAATATTGAACTGGGTATGGTAGTAGGTGTTAGGTGCACCAGTTTGAGTGTGTCAAGAACTGCACCGCTGCTGGGTTTTTTCACGCTCAACAGTTTCCCTTGTGTATCAAGAATGGTCCACCACCCAAAGGACATCCAGACAACTTGACACAACTGTGGGAAGCATTGGAGTCAACATTGGCCAGCATCCCTGTTGAACACTTTCGACACCTTGTAGAGTCCATTCCCCTGACGAATTGAGGCTGTTCTGAGGGCAGAAGTGGGTGCAACTCAATATTAGGAAGGTGTTCCTAATGTTTTGTACACTCAGTGTATGTTGTCCCTTAACCATACTGATGAAAGAGAATGTGTTTTCATTCAGTATTCAATATTTCTCTCTTTTCAAAGGCATTCTTCTTTGGTCGTTCAGAACAGCACCGTTTAATTGAACGTTGAAAAACCCTCTGATATTGCCAACTACTTTAATTACTTTTTCATTGACAAGATTAGAAAACTTAGGCATGACACGCCAACAATCAACTCTGAACCTTCATATCCATGCATATCTGCATTTGAATTCTGTAAAGTGAGTGTGGAAGAGGTGAAAAAAGTATTGCTGTCTATCAATAATGACAAACCACCTGGTACTGACGGCAACTTGAATAAAAAATGACTGAGGATGGTAGCGGACTATTGCCACTCCTATCTATCTAAGCCTACAGGAAAGTGTGTGCCTCAGGGCTGGAGGGAAGCAAAAGTCATTCTGATACCCAAGAATAGCAAAGCACCCTTTACTGGTTCAAACAGCCGACCAATCAGCCTGCTACCCTTAGTAAACTTTTGAATAAAAAAAAATGTTTTTGACCAGGTACAATGCTATTTCACAGTAAACAAATTAACAACAGACTTTCAGCACACTTATAGGGAAGGACACTCAACATGTACGGCCCTGACACAAATTACTGATGATTGGCTGAAAGAAACGGATAATAAGATGATTGTGGGAGCTGTTTTGTTAGACTTCAGTGCAGCTTTTGACATTATTGATCATAATATACTGCTGAAAAACACAAGCGTTATGGCTTTACATCCCCTGCTATATCGTGGATTGAGAGCTACCTATCGAACAGAACACAGAGGGTTTTCTTTAATGGAAGCCTCTGTAGCATAAACAGGTAGAGTGTGGTATACCTCAAGGCAGCTGTCTTGGTCCTTTACTGTTTTTGATTTTTACTAATGATCTACCACTAGCCTTGAGTAAAGCCTGTGTGTCTACGTATGCTGATGACTCAATGTTATACATGTCAGCTACCACAGCAAGTGAAATCACCGCAACACTTAACAAAGAGCTGCAGTCAGTTTTAAAATGGGTGGCTAGTAATAAGATAGTCCTAAATATATCAAAAACTAAAAGCATTGTATTTGGGACAAATAATTTACTAAACCCTAAACCGCAACTAAGTCTTGTAATTAATAATATGGCAATTGAGCAAGTTGAGGAGACTAAACTGCTTGGTGTAACCCTAGATTGTAAACTGACATGGTCAAAACATATTGATGCAACAGTTTCTAAGATGGGGAGAGGTACTGTATGTCCGTGATACAGTGTTGCTATGCTTTCTTGACATCACAATCAACCAAACAAGTCCGACAGGCCCTACAGATGTAGGATCTTAATTTGATCACCTTGTTGCAGGATAACTTTTCTGCAATGCAGGACATTTAAATATTGTAGTGTATTTGAGGTTTAAAAGGCTTCTGTAGTTTGTAATTTCCACTTTGAAATTCCAAACTTGATTTTCCCTTAAGAAAAATGTATCAAACCCCTACAAAAATGTCCATTAATTATTTTAATAATAATAATTTACATTTTCTGTTGCTGCAGGATTAATTTTCTGCTGTAGCAAACGGGCTCAAATTAAGATCCTTCATCTGTGGTTTAATCACACTTGGACTACTGCCCAGTGACAGTATATGGTCAAGTGCTGCAAAGACGGACATAGGCAAAGTTTTTAAACTTTGTTTCCATTGAACATGCCATACAAATAAAGGCATTTAAATTAATTATATGAAGAGTGCCTTGGTCCTCCTTTCTCCTTAAATGGCTGAGGGCTAATATCAAGAACATGCATGCCAATTTCTCCTGACTCAAAGTAGAGGAGAGATTGACTGCATCACTACTTGTTTAGTGAGAGGTATTGAAGTGCTGAAAGCACTAAACTGTCTGTTCAAACAGCTAACACAGCTCAGACACCCATATATACCCCACAAGAAATGCCACCAGTGGTCTCTTCACAGTCCCTAAGTCCAGAACAGAGGCTGGGAAACACACAGTACTACGTAGAGCCATGACTACATGGAACTCTATTCCACATCAGGTAATTCAAGCTAGCAGTAAAATCAGATTTTTAAAAACCTGATAAAACAACACCTCATGACACAATGCGGACTGTGAAAAGACACACACTCACACACTCACACACACACACACACACACACACATACAAACACTCTACACACACCCACACTTCGTAATATTGTATTGTTGTAATATTGTACATTTTATATTATACATTTGTAAAGGTGGAGCAGTGCAAATGTGTATAGTGTCCAATGCATTGGGTGATGAGTTGTTTTATTTATGATGTAGACTATTGTTTTGTAGTGATGTGTTGTTTTGTTACTGTTTGGACCCCAGGAAGAGTAGCGGCTGCCTTGGCAGCAGCTACTGGGGATCCTAATCAATTACTAAATACTAATATTTTTGAGTTATGCATCATAGTTAGATGTCCATGGGTCCGGAACATCATACATACCTGGGGTGCATTCAGTTACATTCAACCGTTGCTAGGTAGCGTGTCTGTTTGTACTGAACAACCCGTTTCCTCAAAACGTTCTTCAACATTCTTGAACAGACTTTGAGGTACGCTTGCTCCGTTTGGAGGGTGTGGTGGGGTGTGGCTTGAAGCAACGAGGGACGAAAGGGCAGTGGAGCGTTCCCCAACCCACAACCCAACCCCTCCCTGTTTTTCAATTGGTCGTTCAGAGCAGCACCGTTTCCGTTGTGTGTTGTCCCTGTCTGGAACATCATTGGTCTTGTCCCAGTGAGAACACAGATTTATATTGGGTAAAAGAACTAAGGAGGAAGTACGACCATAGTCAATCAATCAACAATAATAATTTTAGTACAAATGTTTTTCTTTAACTTACAATCTGTAGAGAGCGATTAGATAGGTTCAGAATTTATGTGAAACATCACAGCACAGTTGAAAAATATATGGTACATGGAAATCATAAGAGGGCGGTTTATGGAGATAGGTGTGATGGACTGAGAGTAGCTGAGCGGTGGGTTTAAAAGCTCATGTTCTATAATAGTTATGACTGAAAACACGATTTATAACGTATAAGTACTATCTATATAGATGTAATGTATATCAAAATATCAAATGCCATGTAAAATGTGTGTAGGATGTACATGTAACAACAAAAGAAAAAGATGTAAAAACAAAGTTTGTTTGTCTTCCGAAGAGGGTGTGGAGGGGGTGGATGGGCCCAAAAAATGAAATAAAAAAGTAAGATGTGAAAGTGTAAGTATATACACCACCCCCTATCTAGTGTCAAAACTTCTGGCATGAGGTGCACAGTGAAAAAAATATATTAAACATGTTTAATATAATTAGGATTTGACAGAATTTGTCCAAGTGGATAGCGCCGCAAATCTGTCAGAGGAGGGGCAGATGGGGAGAGAGAACACGAGAAAGGAGCATTCTAGAGTGCTGGGTTAACTTCACCTGGGAAAGATGAGGTGTGCTATGTTATGTTGGCCCATCTTAGTGATGAGGCACTGGATAAGGTATTGGTGTTGTACAACAGAGTGTGGGAGGAGGGGAAACTACCATGCAGTTGGAAGGAGGCAGTAGTGGTACCAATCCGGAAGCCTGGGAAGGATCCAACGAAGCCAACAAGCTATCAGCCAATGGCTTTAACATCACATGTATGTAAGGTTATGGAACGTATGATTACGGAGAGGCTAACTTACTTCCTGGAGAGCAGAGGGCTAGTAACGCCACATCAGAGTGGGTTCAGGAAGGGTAGGGGAAACTATGGATCCAGTGCTCTGCTTAGAAGCAGAGGTCAGGAAGGCTCAGGTGAACAAGGAGACTGTTGTAGCTGTCTTTATTGATGCGGAGAAGGCATATGATATAATGTGGATCAAGCTTGATATAATGGGGATAGGAGGAAGAACGTACAACTGGATAAAGGATTTCCTGTTTGAAAGGTCTATCCAGGTGAGGGTGAGGAAGTCTTTATCAGGCAGTTACTTGGTGGATAACGGTACACCACAGGGGAGCGGGATTAGTCCTCTGTTGTTCTCAATCATGATCAATGATATTTACTCTCAGGTACAGCCGGATATAGGGAGGTCGTTATTTGCAGATGATGGGGCCCTATGGAAGAGGGGAAGAAATGTGCCATACATAGTCAGGAAGGTACAGGAAGCAATTGATGAGGTAGAGCGGTGGGCATTAATGTGGGGATTCAGGTTCTCTGTAGAGAAAACTCAAACAGTGTTCTTTACCAGGAGGAAGGTGGGAGATTAGGTATACTTGAGATTATCGGGGAGAAACTTGGAGAGGGTGGGGGCCTTCAGGTTCCTTGGGGTATACATTGACACTAGACTGACCTGGGCATAACACATTGAGAGAGTGGTGGGAAAGTGTAAGAAGGTGCGAAATGTGATGCGCTGTCTGACAGGGAAGGAGTGGGGGGCTGGACGTTCCTCATTGAGGATCATGTATGTTGCATTGATCCGATCTGTAATAGACTATGGCAGTTTAGCATATGGTTCGGCAGCCCGGACCTCACTGGAAAGGCTAGATGTCATACAGGGGCAAGGACTCAGAATATGTAGTGGGGCGTTTCGGACGTCCCCAGTGGCTGCATTACAGGTGGAGATGGGGGATATGCCATTGCAGATTAGGAGACAGCAGCTGGCAATGAATTATTGGGTCATCCTACAAGGACATGGGGTGTCTCATCCTGCGAAAGGGATTTTACAGGCATGCTGGGAACATGAGCGAAGACAGAACACGAGCTTTGGGTGGGTGGGTAATACCCAGGCGAAGGAGATGGGACTGTATGGAAGGGAGTTTAGTCCAACGGTAGTTATTCCTGTAAATCAACAATGGCTACTCCCACCTCCAGTAGTTGATCTAGAAGTGTTGGAGAGACTACAGAAAGATAGGGAGGGTGTTGATCCATCTGATTTCTTTAAGAGACGTCTGGAAACTGTGTATCAGGATTTTGTGGCCATTTACACAGATGGTTCAAAAGATCCAAGGACAGGACGTATGGGTCAGCATTTGTAGTGCAGGAATGTGGGGTGGAAGTCAGGAAACGTATTACAGATAATCTAGCTGTATATACGGCGGAGCTGATGGCCATACTGTTGGCCTTGCAGTGGGTGGAGGAAGTCAAACAAGACAGAGTAGTTATTTGCTCTGATTCATGTGCAGTGTTAATGAGTATGCTTTATGAGGTGCTACAAACCCATGGCAGGATTAAACAGATGGGTATTCAGATAAGATTTACTTGGGTCCCAGCCAATGTGGGGGTGGAGGGGAACGAGGCACTAGATGAACAGGCTAAACAAGCACTTAATAGTGGGGATGTTGATGTTGAAGTTTCAATGAGCAAGGCAGAGGTAAAAAGACTGATATATACAGTGATGGTGCAGAGATGGCAGGAGCAGTGGAATAGAGATAATAAGGGAAGGCATTTATTTCAAGTACAGAGGAAAGTCGGGGAGCGGAGGACGGCAGGAAGGGACAGAAGAGAGGAAGCTATTTTTACTAGATTAGGGGGGGACACAGCCAGTTGAATAAGATAGTAAATGTGATAGGAAAGCATCCAACAGGAAAGTGTGATTATTGTCAGGAAACAGAGACCATGGAGCATGTATTGCTACAGTGTGGGCAGTATCAGAGGGAAAGAGAGAGGATGAGATCTAGTATGAGGGAGAAGGGGATACAGGAAATTAGTTTAAAGAGTATATTGAGTAGAACGTCATTAGATATAGTCTCAAATATTTTGTTATCTTTTTTAAGAGCAACGGGGCTGGCAGGTAGGATTTAGTTTCTCCCTGTCTCTGGCCCATACTCCAGTACAGTAGGTGGCGGTAATGCACCATAACGTTGGATGCCAACCGCCAATAAACCCCACTGAAGAAGAAGAAGAAGAAGAAGAAGAAGAAGAAGAAGAAGAAGAAGAAGAAGAAGAAGAAGAAGAAGAGACACAGAGTTTCTCACATTTAACCACTAGGTGTCAGTAAAGGTTTTCAGAGAAGTACAGCCTCATGTTTTCGCTCTCCCATTTTCCACACAAAGAAAGCACAGCGCCCCTCACAGGAATGGAGGTGCACATTGCCGCTAAACCAAGCATCGCCATATTGATATCCCAACAACGTTGAGAGGTAATTCACATTAGCTTATTTAGCTACGTAAAAGGGGCATTGTTTTGAGTCAACTTTGTATGTTATTGCATATAAGACTAATACTCTTAAAACATACATAAGTCTGTTTAGCTTTACTACCATTAGCTAACAAGGTAGCCCACAGAATGTTAGCTAAGGCGTTGTCAGCCAGTTGCCTCGCTAACTCTATGCACTCCCATGTCACTTTTTTTGCTTCTGAAAACAAATACTATTTTGTAGCTTGCGGTAGCTAGCAATCTTCAACATATGTACGTCAGCTAATACTATTTACTGATTTACTAACATTTATAGATGAATACCTGCCCAGCAATGAATGTTTCGTGTATATAACTATAGCTAACATTTGCTTGTTAGTTAGCTAGCCGAGTAGTCCATCCGGTTTTGATGTGGTGGAGTTAAACATGGAAGCAGCTAGCGCGAGCTAGTTGGCTACCTGTGCAGGCCATGGCTCGTGCGTGTGTGACTGTCGCAAGGGAGTTTCACCAAAGATAATAAAACCGTGTGGGTCCCAGCCGGACAGTGTTTATCATAATGTAACTGCTTTGTGCACCGCAGATGTTGACACTTGACAGACCGCTACATAATACCATAGAAATAAAGAAAGATCGTAAGCAGCGACAGGTTTTTGAGTCAAGGCAGAGAGGTTCAGTTGAGACTCTTTGGCCAGGTATTGTACTAAATGAATCACATGTATGTCTTCCAACAGGGCATATGACAGTGGGAATCCTAGTGATGACTCTACTGTGCCCAGTGCCCCCTGATTAGACTGGTTGGATGTCCTCCTTAACAACTACAACAATTAGGTTTGTTGATTTTAGCTAGCTATTGTCTTAGAACACTTGAACCAGTAAAACTTTGACCAGTATAGCTCCGGTTTCCCGAACACAGATTAATTCAGTGGATAATTTCCATAGAGCATGCTTTTTAGTCCAGGACTGGTCTTAATCTGTGTCTGGGAAACCTGTCCATATCATGATGGCTACCTGACCAAAATATGTAGCTATCCAACTAACATCTTCTTGTGTGTTTTATCCTGCAGCCTCTCTACCAAACCAACGTAGCATCAGCTCTGCAGCGACCCCACCTGTCACCTGCAGCTTGGAGGAAACCTCCAAGGTACCATTCACACTGTGATCAATCATTCACACGGTGATCAATCACACTGTCATATAGGCTTTCTGTACCAAGTCAAGCGAGACAGCAGTCAAATACCTGATGCCAAACAGAATGATTCATTAGTCTACATTACTTTGAATCAGTCACATAATTCTCCATCTATGGTTATAGATATTTCTTATATATGGATCTGCCTTGATATCATGTTTATGTTTTTATTATAATAGATGTATCTATTTTCTATGTCCCAGGTGATCCAGAGAACATCCTGTGTATAATATGTCCGGCTCTGTCCCAAGCCGCTCTCGAGTGTACCCTGATGTAAACACACAGAGACCTCGGGAGTACTGGGACTACGAGTCCCATGTGGTGGAATGGGGGTACGTAGTGTGTGTGTGTGGTTCAAAAGCTCAACACATTATTTTCTGTTGCATGTTCTGGTATGTGTATTAGATTGTAGTTGGTGTTACCTAGCTGAAATTGTCAAGCCATCACATTGCTTGCCACTTCTCTGACTATGTAGGAACCAAGATGACTACCAGCTGGTGCGCAAACTAGGACGAGGCAAATACAGTGAGGTGTTTGAAGCCATAAATATCACCAACAATGAGAAGGTTGTTGTCAAAATACTCAAGGTTGGTACCATATTCATTGAATTGAATTTAGTATTTGGCATTTTGTCCCCTAACTCAAATTTCTCTCATCTACAAAGAGACGTGCTGTATGAAGTCCTGATGGTATTTTGTTATGTTTGTCTATAGCCTGTCAAAAAGAAGAAAATCAAGAGAGAAATAAAGATTCTGGAGAACTTGCGAGGCGGTCCCAACATCATCTCACTGTTAGACATTGTCAAGGATCCTGTGGTGAGTAGAGCTCATGATCCTCTTTTCTGTAAGTCTGTCATTGATCACATCCTAGTGAAGTGTAAATCATGACACAACCACATGCCCATTTTTTTTGGTGCCTTTTTTACAATGGCTGTTGCTCAATCACTAAGCAGAAACAATGTGGTTCATATTCAGCTACCCCATCCAGAGTTTCCCCTAGGATTTTATCCAGCAGCGGTGGCAAAGTTAGCAGGGGTGAGGGGGCGTGGCCAATGGCGCTGTTTTAGAAGCCCTCCTCTTGGCCGCTTAGACAAAATGTTGCTGTTTTAAAGCTAATTTCCTACAATTCTACATATATTTCTATGGGGCATAGAGAACATTTTACAGTTTTAAAGCTAGTTTCCTGAAATGATACACATTTTGTCATTGGGCTGAGAGAACAATTGCAGTTTCAATGCTAATTTCCTGCAATTCTACACATTTTGCTTATTCCTTGTTCTTATGCTAAATGAATTGACTCAAACATTATAACAAAATCAATGCCATGACATTTTTTGAATTTTTTATTGTCCCTGACGGTCTAGTTTTTATTTTGGTGATTGTTAGTTCTCAAAGATGATCTTATTTAAAAAATATATTGCTCCATTATCATTTCTACTTTATATCTGGTTTTAGTCATTTGAGTTTACACTGAAAACGTTTTACTATCCCACATTTTTATTTTTTTGTGGCGGCCACGATTTAGCAGTGGCGGTGCACCTCTGCTAAATGCATATAGGGGAAACACTGCCATCCTTGTGTGTACTCTGGTTGAGTGAGTGATTGTAGTTATTATGTCTTCTCAGTCTCGAACTCCCGCGCTGGTTTTTGAGCATGTAAACAACACCGATTTCAAGGTGAGGAGAGAAACAAGGTTCATCTGTCTGTACAGAATTCTAATTAACGTTACATTCTGAACCAATGTCCAGCCATCTCATTTTGATAGATTTTTTTTCTCTGTATTTCAGCAACTGTATCAAACTTTATCGGACTTCGACATACGGTTCTACATGTTTGAAATCTTGAAGGTAAGGGATGGTTTCAAAAAACAAATAAAGCAACACATCACAACGCCTCTCCCCGATGTGACCTACTTGTTGTGTGTATGTACTGACATGTATGTGTAACTAATAGATGCACACACGTTACATGTTAATGTTTTTAAATGTATGTAAAGTATTTTGTCTGTAATGTCTTTTTCGTTATGTGTTAGACCCCAGTAAGACTAGCTGTCGCCATTGGCTTCGGCTAATGGGGGTCTTAATAAATCAAATCAAATCTCAGATGCCAATGATACATCTCGCATTTAGACTACTGTTAGTTTAAACCATGACCTAATTGTTTATTCTCAGGCCCTTGACTACTGTCACAGTATGGGGATCATGCACAGAGATGTCAAGCCACACAATGTGATGATTGATCATGAACACAGAAAGGTATGGATTCCCTCTCCCACTTTCATTCATTGTTACTATAGATGCTATCACTACCATAACTCTGGCACCCCAATGGTGGAACAAGCTCCCTCACGACGCCAGAACAGCGGAGTCACTCACCACCTTCCGGAGACACTTGAAACCCCACCTCTTTAAGGAATACCTGGGATAGGATAAAGTAATCCTTCTACCCCACCTTACCCCACCCCAAAGAAAAAAAAAAGAAGAAAAAAAACATATTGTAAAGTGGTTATCCCACTGGCTATAAGGTGAATGCACCAATTTGTAAGTCACTCTGGATAAGAGCGTCTGCTAAATGACATAAATGTATAACTAACCAGCTGACTTTGTTAGCTGTTTTTGTTTCCTTATGGTTGCTTATTGTAAAGCGTCTTTGGGATTTAGAAAAGCCCTATATAAGACCTGTGTATTAATATTGTTATTATCATAGAATTAGGAATTAGAACTCAGAATTAGGAATTAGAACTTATTATGAACTCCAAACACAAGCAATAATGGGTGTTTTCTTGTAGCTCCGCCTGATCGACTGGGGCTTGGCAGAGTTCTACCACCCTAACCAGGAATACAATGTGAGAGTGGCCTCGCGCTACTTCAAAGGACCTGAGCTGCTGGTAGACTACCAGGTGAGACCACTCAATACAGTCTGAGAAGACTAGTTATAAACATGAAACTAACTAGGCTAGGTCTAGTTGGCCACAAATCTATAGTAGCATGTTGTTAATGTAGTTATAATAATGTAGTTATAAGCTGGTATAGTAATGTAGTCATTGTTGTTTTAAGCACGACTCTCTCTCTCTCTCCCTCGCTCTCTCTTCCTCTCTCCTTCCCTCTCTCTTTATTTCAGATGTATGATTACAGTTTAGACATGTGGAGTTTGGGCTGTATGTTGGCCAGCATGATCTTCAGGAAGGAGCCTTTCTTCCACGGACACGACAACTACGACCAGGTAGAATTGTCTCTCATGGTGCTGATCACAACGTCTTGATATTGAATCCTGATGCTACAGCACTGATTGTAACTATCAAGTGGATGTCTTGTTGCTCTCTTTGTTGCAACTTTCTGTAGGATTACAAGGAAGTATTTTGGTTTGTCTCCAATCAGGAGAGAATAATTGAGTCTCTCGTAGTGTTGATGAACAACCATCAAACAATGTCTTGATCATGATGATGCTACGGTCTTTACAACAAGGCTGATGTTTGCTGTTTAGTGCATATCTCTAGCTCTCTTACTTGACTGCCAGTTGAATTCCAGATTTCTGTATATGCTTACAAGTAGGCCCTAGGCTTTTGTTTAGTTTGTCTTCTCTCTAAAATGTTATATTTCTGTTTTACAGCTCGTACGGATTGCTAAAGTCCTTGGCACAGAGGACTTGTATGACTACATCGACAAGTACAACATTGAACTAGACCCACGGTTTAATGACATTCTGGGCAGGTGAGAATAACCAACATTTCATTGTCAGATTACTTCAACAGAACTGGACTGCAGAATGTATTACTGAATGGTCCAAATACACAATGTGAATGTCAATTTATACCTGACCCCTGCCTTGAGTAATTCAGGTTATTAATGCCCAGATTATTGACCCATAGAAACAGAAAGAGTTGAACGGCAAAAGCCCCTCAGACCATGATAATTTGACAGTGCACTCATGGGTACAGTCAGTATGGCTACCAGTCCACACACAATGGAACGTTGACTTGAAGGAGCTTGTCTCTTTCTATCTATTGATTTGACTTTTTCCTTGTTTTGTCTCCTTTTCCTCCATACTTCTTTGTAAAGTGTCTTGAGAGAACTTTGTGAATCTACACTCTGAATAAATGTTGACTTGATTTTATGTATTGACATCTCTCTCCTGGTCCATTCTCCAGACACTCCCGTAAGAGGTGGGAGAGGTTTGTGCACAGTGAGAACCAGCACCTGGTGAGCACCGAGGCACTGGACTTCCTGGACAAGCTGCTGCGTTACGACCACAACGCCCGCCTCACCGCCCGGGAGGCCATGGAACACCCATACTTCTGTGAGTTTCCCCTCAACCTCCACTCAGATTTCTAGATATAAGCCTGCTGCATAAGACACCAAACTGAATGTTTAAGTGCTATAACCCTCAGATTGATCTTAATATTATTATGGTGCTCAATACAATAAACTGTTCGGAAATCACTTCTGTAGTTAGAAACCGATATTAGCATTCCTGCAACATTATTTTGTTGAAATTTGGTTTCTCGGTTGTGTCTCAGTTGAGTGAGCCGCCTTGAAGCTTGACTGGTTAGGGTCAAGAAGATCATTCTGAGAGAGATAACGAGAGAGTTGATCAGAGACGGCACGCTCAAGTGTTCTGGAAAGGAAAGAAAAGAAAGAAGGGATCTGGTTTGTTGTTCTTGACGTCAGAGAGGTTAAGTGTTATCATAGATGTCTGTGGATTATGTTAATGAGTGTTGATTTAGAAGACGTCTGATTGTCTGTCTCGCTCTCGCTCTTTTCTCTCCTCTCTCTCTCTTTTCTCTCCTCTCACTCTCTCTGGTGCCAGACCCCATTGTTAAAGATCAGGGAAGGGGCAGCACTCCTGGCGGAATGGTTGCCAGCTCCACTCCAGTCAGCTCTTCCAGTATGATGGCAGGTAAGTCATCCAGCACTGCATTCTGAGGCCTGTAGGGCTATGGTCAAAAGTAGTGCACTATTTAGAGTATAGGGTGCCATTCAGGACGTAACCTCTCAACTCCCGGGAAAGATGTGCTGTTATTGTTATTCTTTGAACATTTTACATTGATTGAATGGTTTCCCAACACCACAGTTTTATTTGTGGAAATGACAATTTCTTACATTTCTCTCTCCCTCAGTAGTCCTCCTGACCATAGATCACACTGCCCTCTTCTTTGACTTCCTGTCAGTAAGTGTTCTGACAGTAGGAGTCACTGGTGAGAATGTGTCCATTATCTCTTCTAGGCATCACCTCCACAAAGCCACTGGCTAACATCGCTGGATCACCGGTTATCTCTGCCCCCAACACTCTGGCCCCACAAGTCCCAGCAGCCGCCGGGGTACAGCCCTGAAACAACCACCTCCTCCCAGCGGCCGCCGGGGCACAGCCCTGAAACAACCACCTCCTCCCAGCGGCCGCCGGGGCACATCCCCCCCCTGAAACCACAACCACCTCCTCCCAGCGGCCGCCGGGGCACATCCCCCCCTGAAAAAAACACCTCCTCCCAGCGGCCGCCGGGGCACATCCCCCCCCTGAAACCACCTCCTCCCAGCGGGCGCCGTGGCACATCCCCCCCGAAACCACCACCACCTCCTCCCAGCAGCCGCCAGGGCACAGCCCTGAAACCACCTCCTCCTCCTCCCAGCAGCCGCTGGGGCACGGCCCTGAAACCACTTCCTTCTCCTCCCAGCTGCTGCCAGGGTAGAGCCCTGAAACCACCACCACCTCCTCCCAGCGGCTGCCGGGGCACAGCCCTGAAACCACCACCTCCTCCCAGCGGCCGCCAGGGCACAGCCCTGAAACAACCACCTCCTCATGGGACCTCCTCACCTGTGTTTGTTTGGTCCCGTGGTTCGGTTCAGCCCACCCCACCCTCTACTATGTGTTGGCCTGGCCCATGGGTTTCCTTTTTATTACGTTGAGAAGAATGACGGAGAAAATATGTTGAAATTGCTTTTCCCTGTTCAGTTATATTTTGAGATCTGGACTTGACAGAATTGTTTTATTGTCGCACATGTCTGGATGATTGAAAGTAGTAAATAACTTTCATGGGGTGTGTTATTTCACAAAATGCCAGTGGTCTAGGAATTCTAACACAATGTAGACATGATGAAGAACAGAATGGATAATAACATTAATTTTTTATGTCCCAAATATACAGTCTAGCTTGAAACAGTTTGTTTGGGGATTCCTGCTGTTGCAATACACTGAACCTGTAGACAACTTCCCAAAACGAGACAGGATTCTCTGATGTAGCCCCCACTTGGCAGTGTTGGATAGTTGCGCACACACTACTGTTAAGTGCAGAAGCTACCGGTGTTTTGAAGTTGTTAGAAGCTATCATACTTGTATCTGTAGATTCTCTACAGTGACTTGTCAGGTTGCACGCACCAAATGCTGACTATCACAGGGTCAATAGTTTGCCAATTTGGTGTTACTTTTACTTCTGAATACATGTTTTGTTTTTTAATGCAGTCTCTTACGCATGATTTTGATTACATAGACAATTTTGTAACTTTTTGTTTTTATGTTGGGAGGAGTCTTATCACTTGCAAAAAAATAATCTACTTCATAAATAAACAATTTTAAACAGGCAGGTATGAGTATTCCTTTAGCATTGTATGTTGTCCATTCTTTCTGTGAAGTGTACAGACATTGATGCTGTAGGAAACCCTGGCAAATATATGCACAGTTAGATGGGTGTAAAAGCAACACAGACAGATTAATTTATTTCAACTAACCCAGCCTAACGTAGTATGTAATGGAGTCTAAACCAGTAATGCCAATGGAATTTGAAAAATATGTAAATTGTAAAATATCAAATAGTTCGGACCTTGCAAACAAATTGAACTGAGAATGAGTACTTTGGTGTTTGAGTGCGAGAAAGGGTCATTCATTGTGTTACACGGTTTTGCCCATTATTTGTCTCGAGGTAAAAAGCCTAAGAATTCTGTTTCCCACACAACAGTACTACACACAGCATTGTTGCATGGTGCCCTATCGCAACCTTCCTTTGAACCTACAGGCAGGTCTTTTATTCTGTTCTATGATTTCAGGTCTTTATTTTGTGCAGTTGAAGTAATTGAGATAAAAAAAAAAAAAAGGATATAGCTAAATCAAATACACTATTGTCCTAAAATATATTATATTGTTTTGGGGGGGGGGGGGGGGTTGGGAATCTGTAATTGATTGAATAGCCTATAATTTTTGGTAATTGCCTAAATGTTCTGGTACCAACGAAAAGTCTAGCTATATCACTGAGAGTACAAACAGTGTATGCACCAATGATGAGATGTAAGCCCTTGATTGCGAACGCTTTGTATTGGCCAATAAGAGGCTTTGAAACCACCGGTCGGCCATATTGGCACTCCACAGTAGGAGCAGTCCTCCATAGGAATTAATGGAATTCTACAATATTTCAATTAAACGTTTCAAGGACAAAATAGCATGTATTTAAGTATTTTCTTCTTGTAGTGGGGACAGTGACATTACTCTAAAATATACTTTATACTTTATGGAAAATGTTTTAATATATTTTTTCATTTTGTATTATGTTTAGCTAACATATAATATAAAGTATGCATTAAGGTGTCTGTAATAGAATACACGTGTCAAAAACGAATGTAGACATTAATAAATGCATTTCTATAGCTTCCTAAATATATTTTACATTGAAGGAGTACCAAGATGGCTGCGCGGTGGCTTCAATACAGCGCCCCGTTAGTCATCCAGAGTTTATACACATCATTGGTATGCACATTGCACACATTCAGTGGCAACATTTTTCGTCAGCTAGTGCTCATGTTAACATTTTACAGTTTTTTCCAACTGCTTACACACAAAATCTTTTCATGTCACACGATTTTTGAAACCTCTCACTCAAAGTGCAAAACTACACACAAAATCTCCAAAACCATAAGCTTTTGCCTTTTACTCAGTTGTCAATTGCATAAAACACTTTTTTCAAAACACTACACACAATTCTCTACCTAAAACACAAAAATCTAACAGGAAGTGACTTGCTTTCCTTTTCCAAACAAAACCAATCAAAATGCTACACTTATTCACCAGGTCAAACACATTCTCCTCACATGTTCAAACACTAATTGCTTAACTGATCACTAACCAATCACTGCTTTACTGTAGTATAGGACTGTTTTGAACAATGGATGCCAACAATGGACAGAGAGCAAGAGGAGTAGGAGGGAGAGGGAGGGGACAACAACGAGGACAAATTCAAAGACGAATAGTTGGAAGAGGAGGAGTAGGAGGTAGAATAGTTGGAAGAGGAGGAGTAGGAGGTAGAGGAAGAGGGCAAAGAAGAGAATGAAGGAGAGCCATCTCTGATGAGATTAGGGCAACACTTGTTGATCATGTGATCAACCACCGGTTTGACCATGAGAGAGGCTGGACTGAGAGTCCAGCCCAACTTGAGTCGATTTACAGTGGCGTCCATAATTCGAACCTTCAGAAATGAGAGCAGGAATGCAACTATCTAATTACTATTTTAGCATTACAGTAATGTACTGTAAAATACGTATGACTGCATAGTATTGCATAAACATTTGTAACTCTAAGCCATCCATTTACTGCACTGCATTGAATGAATGAGGTTGGTTATCATGCTGTACTACATTTTTGTGTACATTGTTTACAGTTCCTATGCTGAACACATACTGTGTTTTTATTCTGTACAGAGTGGAAAGGCAAAGACATCATGGAGGACGAGGACGCTTGTTTGCAGATGTACAAGAGACTGCAATTATAAATATGGTTTTGGCCAACAATGCAATTAGGATTTGAGAGATAAGAGAGCATATCTTGAATAATGACACCATATTTAACAACATCAGTGCTTTAAGCCTGTCGACCATACAACGCATCCTCCAATGGCACCAAGTGATGATGAAACAACTTTACAAGATGCCATTTGAGAGAAACTCTGACAGAGTCAAGAATCTGTGACATGCCTTTGTAGAGGTATGTATGCAACACTACTTCCAGTACTTCAGACATACCATATTTACTCATCTGTATATCATTTTGTCTGTTACAGAGAGTATTGGAGATGGATGCCCATGTCCATTTATTTATGTGGATGAGGTTGGCTTCAACCTCACCAAAACCAGGCGCTGCGGAATAAATGTAATAGGACAGAGGGCAATTACCAATGTCCCTGGACAGCGTGGGGGTAATATAACTATGTGTCCTCCATCACAATGCCACACTGGGTCCGTACAACACCGGCCATATCCTCACTTTTCTGGGTGCAATTTACACAATGCTTGTCCCTGATCCATATCAGGAGCCTGCTAGATTTGTGGTTATATGGGACAATGTTAGTTTTCACCGG